CTTTAATGAACCACCTAAGGGATGGTCAGTTGTACCTCTTGCCATTCCAACAAAAGTGAGCTCTTAAATTAATTGCATTATTATTGTTGCAATAGGTTAGTCAGGGAAAAATTGATGACTATGGCAGCAAGTCTCCTCCTGACTTCCCAGGATGTACAATTGAAATCACAGCTGAACCTGGTGAAGGTGCAGATAGATTAATTTATCCTGTACCATTGAGAGGAATTAAATCTGATAACATGGAATTAAACATTGTATTAAAAACTGGTTAGTATCATTTAAATAAGTAAAGTTATACAACAAGGAAGAGGTGTTTATGATAGAGCCATAAATACCAACACAAAGCTGTATAACCAACTTCTACCATGTACTAAAGTAAACAACTAGATTTAGTGCACTTAGCAACACTTAGCAACAGGTTGTCTATTTTCAAGCAGGAGGTTAATAAGTAAATTCCCCAGGCCACTTATTACTGTCCAAATGTCTGGAAATTTACTTATTAAACCTCCTAGTGGTAAATCAGTCATTTATAAACCTAAAATCAAGCAATCTGATTTGTCAATTACAACTAGCTATAGGCATGGTAGAAATACAATTATTGTACATTGAACTATACAAACATTATGTGTATGTATCAAGTATTATTAGTATTTAATATAATGTATAGATATTGAAACACTCACTGATACACTGCTTGGTAAGACTAAGAGAGTATATAGTGTTGTTATTATTATTATACACTCATGCAGATATTAGAGATCTTGTTACAGTCCTTCAAGAATTAACATCAAATCAACAGTTTGATTATGCTAACAACTGGAAACAGTTAGGCCTGTACTTAGGATTATACCAACCTACACTAAAAGCAATTGAAGTAAACTGCAGAGGACAAGTGAAGGAGTGTCTAATGGAGTGTCTATCTTCCTGGCTAAAGGGAGAGGATGGAGTAAGAGAGACAAGAGGAGGTGGATCAAACTGGATATCATTAGTAGCAGCACTAGATGCAATGGGAGAGAGGGAGGTTGCTGATAACATTAGAATAAAGTATAACCTATAAACTACAGTAATACTTAGTAGCTGTTTTACAACAACAATGAACATGAAAGGGAAAGAAGAGAAAAATGAAGTTCCAATTGGATTTAGTATTCCGTATTCATTCCTCATAGCTAGTTTAATGTGTTCATTCATTGTCAGTGTACTAATTAGCTGAGCTGTCATCATGTACTAATTTCCCTATCTCTATAACTAGAATTATTACTGATAGCATCAAACTATGTTTATTATTATAACTAATGTTTATCACCTAATGAATATTACATGTACTGCTGTAAAAGGAAACCTAATTATATTTATAAACTTGTTTGTGTGGTCTATAGTATTATTGAGTGTAGCACACGATTGATATGAACTAACAAAAGGTTAACAATGATGCAACATTGATTAAATTTTTTCAGTAAATTTAAATTTTGAAAAGCTCCAAAATCAAATGAATTAAAGTACCTGTACCTTTTAGAAATAATAAATGGCATCAAACGGGAACTTTTATAAAGGCTTTGTGTTCACAATACTTAGGTTGTGACCAAAATTCGTCTATTCAAACAAGCATTGTGGAATTTCAAATATTTTAAACAAAATCAAATATTGCAGTCAATCTACATCTTAGTCTTCAGACTCATCGTCATCAGTTTTAAACTGACGGAGGAAAGACGCCTTCTTTTGCTTAATCTTCGACTTGCGCTGAGCTAGGGTCAACTTCTGCTTAGTCCAGCTGAAAAAAAAACAAAAAATAATAAAATAAAACATGTATGCCCTCACCGTTTCTGAGTCTCCATCTTCTTCCTCTCCTTCACTTGTATGACCGGATCAGCTCTTATCATCTCATGAGCTTTCTTGTACATTGGCTCAATCTTTCAGGAGAGAGGGAGAGGGAGAGGGAGGGAGGGAGGGAGGGAGGGAGAGAGAGAGGGAGAGAGAGAGAGAGAGAGAGAGAGAGAGAGAGAGAGAGAGAGAGAGAGAGAGAGAGAGGGGGGGGGGGAAGAAGGATGACATATACATGTATATGGAGGGTTTCCCACAAAGCATGCTAAGTGAGCTAAACAGCATGAGCTTCATGAGCTGACAAGAACTACAATACAGTACATGGCATTTGGAGCAACTTCAAAAATTTGTAAAAAATCCAAATTTTGATTGGAATCAGTTATAACTTTCTACACAACAAAAAAAAAATGTATATGCATTAGAAAAAAATTTAAACGAGGATTTCTCTCCTTTTCATTTATGACAAAATTGGCCAAAATCCCTGTACTACTGATTTTGGAGCAACTTAACAATCCACTAGCAAAAAGCTGCGCGAGCATTACCAAAAATCATTATTCTCATCTCTTTTCTTACATCATCTGGTCCGAGTCCTTCCTTAATGTAAGCTGAGAAGTGTTTCTGATATCTCTCGTTGTCTTCCTCCGATAAATACCTCATGTAGTTAGCAACATGTCCGCCAAAAA